ATAGCAATTATCTGCAAATGTAAATTTTAGAGGATAATTTCTGTTAATTTGCTGACTTTAACATATGAGAGAAAAATAAAAGTAACATATAAAATTCAGAAAAAAAGAGTAACTGTGCATTAGTGCTGACATGTGTTCTTCGTAGAGGCTGTGTACTTATTTCCAATAGAAAATTAACAAAAACATCATTTGACCAATACTTTTGCACACCACTGTATGCAGCAGGGTCCAAGTACAGTGTTACAATAACCTACATATTATTTTCACAGCAGTTACTGAATGGATACCGAATTATAAGTCTTAAGGTTAATAAATGAACAGCAGGTCTGCAGTTTGGGTGGTTAATATTTCATCCTTCAGAAAATATCATTTACTCACTGATACTGAATGTTGGGGAATTTTACAGTCTCTAAAAACAGAGGTCCTAGATAACGGTTACACCATCATGATCTCTCTCACACTCCTCTAGTTCTCTCACTGTGACTGGCAGGAACTCCTCTGGGGTCGTCCTGAGCCTGCGTGGCAGAGTGTCATTTACATAATCGAGCACAAGGCCCTGTTTACAAGCTCCAGAGGTTCTTATAACAGATCCCTCGTCTCTCTACCCGACCAGCAATCCAGGACTAATTAAGAAAGCTATCTAAGCATCAGCGTATTAAGGACCCAGCAGCCATTAGGCCTCCACTTTTCATTTCTGTGACTGCTGCATCACCAGAGGGGATGATGATCGGCCATTAGACCAATCTGCATCCAGTCACGGACCGCGCAAATAGCGCCGCACATTTCCCACGCACGCCTGATACAAGTTACAAAGAATGAAAAAGGGAAGTAATTGATTTTAAATTAATTGTGTGAAAGGTCTCTATGATGGGTACCATCTGTCCAAACAAGCTGCACATTGAGGAAAAGAAAAAAAAAAATTAATCTAAATTAATTAAAGTGCTAACAAATTACATACATCATAGTTAACACAGGAAAGAAACTACCGCAGGAAATGTTATGAAACAAATTAGCTCTAACAATGAAAGAAAATTACTTCACATAACTAAATATTACAGTCGTTTCCGCAAGCCATATTTCTTAATGAATTCTCTAATTAATTTAATTCACACATTGTGCATAATTTGGAGCGGGAAATGTCAGTGGGTCAGATTTAACCACAGTCCTGCTGGCTGTCTGTTCCAACAAGAGACACATTAGCTAAACATGACCTCTATGCAAATGAGAGACCAACTGTTGTAATTTCAATTCCAAGGCCTAATTAGCATGTTATAAAGACACAACAGCGGATCGTTCGCCTCCACTCGCACCATGCCAGAGCCCGTTTAACAGCGGCTGGAAACAGCTCAATTAAAACACTGTCTGCCCAGGATCTGCATCATACTGCATATCGGAATCGGACAGGTTCAACAAAAATGTTCAAAGTTTTCCACCCCCCATCAAATGTGAGAACGGAGAGAGGTTGAATTTTGAAATAATGATTCATAATCATATAAACTTGGAAAGAAGATGTGAGAAGAAAGACACACTACAGACAGACTACACTCTTAACTCAGTCATACGGTCTTACTTTGTCCTGTCCGTAATGCAGGTTAAGCAGTAAAGATGCACAATAACGTCAGCGTGAATCTACAGTGCATAAACAGAGCCAGGTTGATGACTGGCTGTAATTGGTTAATGCAAAGGCCTGTGTGAGGTAATGAATGTCATGGGTATTGGCCCAAGGCCTCAGGGCTGTCCTCAGGCTAATGGGTCCAAAGAACCCCTATGAAAGTGTCTCCGCCAGGACGAGAAGGCCACACACTCAGGGATCCAGACTCCCATCTGACCACACACACTCTGCATGGAGTAACAGCCTGCCTGCAACAACACAATCTCAACTTCTCTTTCCCTTTTCACATCTTTTTGCCATTCTTCATCTCTATTTCATCTACGTTACAATGCTGGAAACCCATATTTCAAAACTCAGCACCTTCAGAGGCCTGCTTAAGCATTGAGGTCTTTTATTCATCCATACATAAAACTAGTGTGTGCCAAAATATATGTCCAAAAGTATGGCACCCCTTCTAATTAGTGAACTCAGCTACTTTAAGGAGCACTGGTGAAAGAGGCAGTGGTGGACAAAGTACACAAATCATATACTTAAGTTAAAGCTGAGACCCCCAAGGTAAACTATTACTCCAGTAAAAGTAGAAGTCCTCCCTTTAGACCTCCACTTGAGTAAAAGTACAAAAGTATTTGCCTTCAAATGTCCTTAAGTATCGAACGTAAAAGTACTATAAGATAAATTAACTTAATGCAACTTAGTTACAAGTTTAAGTTTAATAAAAACTTGCTTTAAACACAAGTTCACAAGTGTGTTTTCCTTTACTATCTGTACTATCTGCAGGTCTCTTTTCATAAACACAAACTAGCAAAAACAAATTTACTATAAAATGAAATTCAGTCACAATCGCATATGTGTACATATTTCTATATTGTGGTCCATTTACACAAAGTTAGCTTAGTTCCATCATTTATGTCGACATAGGCACTCCCAAAATTTTACGCTGCTGCACTGACGTTGAACTGTTCAACTGCTGAACAGGTCAAAACAAGCTCAAAACGCATTGTAAACTGACTGGTGTGTTGCTTCACGCTTCTTTTGTTTTGACGTTACGTTTTTATGCACACATAAGCCAAAAGGAACGACAGATTTCGCATAACGTAGTGGAGTAAAAAATAAGATATTTGACTTTGAAATGTAGTGGAGTGAAAGTAAAAAAGTCACCCAAAATGGAAATACTGCAGTAAAGTACAGGTACACAAAAAACTACTTAAGTACAGTAATGAATTACATTTACTTTGTTACTGTCCACCACTGGCATAAGGTCACCATCTTTGTACATGCCAGTAGCTGAATTCACTAAATAGATAGGGGCGTCTGGATTCTTTTGGACAAATTCTGAGTGTCAGCCCCTTCAGGAATTGGGATCCGTAGAACTGTGTTCTCTGGAGTGATGGCGCTCCATCCAATACCTTTGGGAAGAGTTGGATTGATGTTTGTGATCCAGATAATCCAACATCAGTACCTGACCTTACTAATGCTCTTGCGACCAAATTCAATCAAATCCTCAGAGCAATGTTCCAACATCTAGAGCAAAGTCTTCTCAGAAGGCTGTTACTGCAGCAAAGTGGCAGGGGGACAAAACATCTATTAATACCCTTGATATTAGAAGAACCACTGGATAAGCAAATGTCTACAAACTTTTGAACACGCAAATTATATATCCAAAAGTTTGCAGTCACCTGTTTATCCAACACTTCTTCTGAAATGAACTGTACTAACCCTTTATTAGGAAGTTTGATGTAGTGTATGTTTATTTAACACTTTAGGCTGTGTATTCACAGGCACATTAACAACTGGCAACGTTCTAACATGAAGACATTTTTTCTAATCCAGCACTCTGTGACTGACAGTACTGGCTAAACTGGACACGCTTGATTTCATGTGTGACTCAGCAAACATCCAATGCGTCAACAGAATTCCTTTTCCCTACAGTCATTTTAAGGTATTCTGAATTAGTGGATCAACTTCTGATTTGTAAATCTATTTTCTACACAATACAGGGAGCTAAACTAGAAATAATAAACAAAAATATACATATTCATGTAAGTTCATAATGTCATAACCCTGCTCCAGAGGGACCTCTTGATCAGATCTTTAACTGGGTTGGTAACAGTTTTGGAGGTATGTTTTTTGGGATCTTACAGCAATTGCTCTGTTACATATTCTCCTTTGTAGCACCAGTAATAGTAGCTATTTTTTTTTTTTTTGCGATCAAATGATTTTATTTTTAAGATAGTGCTCCAGTGTAATACAAAATACAGTAAGCAGCAATAGACATAGTAACAAAATGAAGCACCCAACCACCCCAACATCCCCCTCCCCCCACATGGTACCCATAAACCCACCGCTGATCAAAGAAGAAAATAATAGTGAAAAAATAAATAAATGAATGATCTCTATGCCATATCAAGTAATACAAAACAGGTTTCACAATAAGTTGCCAATTTTCTTAGCTGGACTTTCCAATTAGCTCAAGGTCCTCCCGCTAGCTCCATGGATCCTTGCAGTTGAAAGTTCCATATTAATAATAAGTTACTGATATTTACTTTTGCCTCAGATTACACTGGTGCTTAATGACTGAACTACACCGGCGTCGGAGTTCCTTATAAACATGGAAACACTTCATTTCCCCAATCACCTGTACGTGGACTGAAGAGAAGAGGCCCGTCTTTAGGATGCGTAGAAAGATAGAAAATTCTGGCCATTTTTCTCTGTAAGAGGAAAGGATAGATTGATTAAGCTGTGAGAGCATACATTTTATAGTATGTTCTACGGAGGTAATGAAGGAATGTATTGCTGTGTATTGTGTTTAGTGCTGTGTTACGTTATTATGTACAGTATTGTGTGTGCCTGTACACTCATGTCTGTCACACCTATCACTTGTCATGTATAGGCTGGCATCAGTCCAGCCTATAAAACCGTGTCAGTTTTCAGTTTTTTGACATCATTTGAAAATGCCTGAAGGCCTTTACATTGTGTGTAAATTTCACGAAGGTTGGACCAAAAATAATGGCCCAAAATGACTTGGACAAAAGTCTGGTTCCAATTGACTTACATAAAAAAGTAAAGTATGTTTTTTCCTTCTCCAGTAAAGTCATCATTTTGGAGATAACAGGTTTTGTTCCGATGTACAAACATGTTATTTATTTATTTGTTTGTTTGTTTGTTTAATGCGCTTTGGTGTTTGTTATACATTTTGGAACAATAAACACATAAAACAATGTAAGTGAAATCCCACTTTTCCCATATTTAAATGTAAATTTACTGTAAAATATAATTTATTCTGTTTCTCACTTAAACTTAACCGCGCCTTAAAATGTATGAATCTGAATTCACACGTGGCCAAATGATTTGGCCTACGTGTAACTTTAAAGTGTGTGTGTTGCGCAGTAGATCCAGGAACTGCTGCATAAGCCACATCCTTGCCAACTACAGGTAGCCGGAGTGAGTGTTGTGGAGTCACTGACCAGCTGTGCTTTCTCCTAAACTGCTGATTTCTGACCTCAAAACTGCAGCGTGGCTCGTCCTCTGCTGGTGGTGCTGTAAGTGTTAATGCAACTTAATACCCTCTGAGCAGCCTTAAAGCTGAAGACTGCCTGTAAGAGAGCACTGAGCTACGACTTAACATGGGACCCTACCTTGTACCTGCACAGCGTGGGACTGGGCAGGAGGGGAAAGGCTTGGCTTGGTGAGTTGGTCTGAATGGCTGCCTGAATTCAGCCAACTTTGCTGTGTTTTTCGCCTTTGACTGCCTTGCTGAAGTAGAAATGGAGACCTGCCACAGAGGCTGGAGCTGTGGGAGAGAGAGATGCTGCCACGCAGACATGTCTCCATGTAAGTCAGCCCCCAAATTCAGTCACCCTCTGTCCTGTAAGTAGGCTTTATTTGAGCGGGATTGTCTGTCTTATCGAGACCAGAAATGAAGATCAGAAAGTATTTCAGGGGCAGCGGGCGGGTTTTTGCCTTTGTTTTCGTGGCCTCCGTAGTTTGGCTGCTGTTTGACATGGCAGCGCTCAGGCTGTCGATCAGCGAGGTGAACACTGAACTTCTCAAGGAGCTGGTCGTCAAAGAAAGAGAGCTGACCAAAAGGCAGGCTACGAAAGGGACCAAAGTAGCGGACAGGGACTTCAAACATCCCCTCCAAAAGGTACAGGCGGATTTGGGGGAGGGTAAAAAGTCAGACAGCTTCGACACCAAAGTTGTTGAGGTGTACAGAAAGCCTGGGAAGTTCAGAGGCAAAGTGGAGCCTAAAAAGGACGACGCGACGCCAACTGGGGCGAAAGGAGGAGAGAGAAAGGGGGTTAATGAGAATAAGAGAGAAGAGAAGAGTTTAAAAAAGAACAATAGTGGCAAAGACACAACTGTGAGAACCCCCATACCGCCACAACAACAAGCCAGAACTGGAACTAAGGAGAAAGAGAGGAGAATAGCACCGTCATACTCCAAAGCGCCACCTGCTGTCCAGGAAGAAAAGCGACCCCAAGAGGTTCTGAAAGAGAAAACTATCAAATTGCAGAGCAAGGAGACCAAAGACACTAAGGTGGTGCTAGCACAGGACACTAAAGTGGGGCTAGTACAGGACACTAAAGTGGGGCTAGTGCAGGACACTAAAGTGGGGCTAGTGCAGGACATTAAAATACCAGTGGATTCTGGTTTGCTGAAGAAAACCAGCAGCAACAGTACTCTGAAAACAGCAAAACAAGATGCTCACCCAACAATCAGTGCGAAAAAGGACGTCATACCTATACGGAGACTTAAAGAGGGAAAAGGCGTTATAGTTTTTAACCGTGATAACAAGCACATTAACAAGAATGACTCAGCTCAAGTCTTGATAGAAGACAAGCACAAATCATCTCTACAAGCTGGTGCTTTGAATCCGGGAAAGCTCCCGGCTGGAGAACCCGTGAAACTGCTGAACTCCTCAGGTGTGAGGAGGTCAGCTGGGCTCCACAAGGTGATGGCCCTGGACGTCACCGACAAGCCAAGAGAAGTGCGTGCGGTAGGGCAGTTTGGACAGGCCGCAGTGGTGCCCCTGGACAAGCAGGATGAGAGCAGGCGCAGGTGGAGCGAAGGCTACTTTAACGTGTTCCTCAGCGAGCAGATTCCAGTGGACAGAGCCATTCCAGACACAAGACCTCCAGCGTGAGTAGCTTATTCATGTCCTTTGCAGCAGTGCTTACAAACGTGTTTAAAAGAAGCTTAAGTATTACAGGAATTATATCATACGTTATGTCACTTGTGTGCTTTTATGTAGCAGCACAGTCATAAATACAGGACCATGTTCTAACCTCCAACTCAACAGACTGTTTTTGTTACTGTACAGTTAGAAGAAAGCAAGAAAGAAGGAAGGAAAGAAAGAAAGCAAGCAAGAAAGAAGGAACGAAAGCAAGAAAGCAAGCAAGCAAGCAAGAAAGAAGGAAAGAAAGAAAGCAAGAAAGAAGGAAGAAAGCGAGCAAGAAAGAAAGAAAGCAAGAAAGAAGAAAGAAAGAAAGCAAGAAAGAAGGAAGAAAGCGAGCAAGAAAGAAAGAAAGCAAGAAAGAAGGAAAGAAAGCAAGTAAGAAAGAAAGAAGGAACAGAAGCAAGAAAGAAGGAAAGAACACCAGAAAGCAAGAAAGAAAGAATTTTATTGATCCCGAAGGGTAACTGCAGTGCTACAGTAGCAAGACATATACTTTCACATAAACTTACATATATTAGGCAGAAATAAAAATAGACATAAATTACAGTAACATATGAGAGAGTAGGAATAGAAGCATGTCAATTAACATATTTACATAAGCATATAAGACACATTGTTGTATTTACATGAAAGCAGGTACTGCACTAAATGGTATGATGTAGTTTAAACACGACGAGTATGAACATAACCAGGAGCAGCTGCAGTATTTACAGTCTAAGAGCGAAGTGAGAGTGACATCACAGTAGCAGGTTATGATACATTGCTCAGTGTATATTAACAAGAGAGGTGATACAGTGATGCGATTCAGCACAGTTCACACAGCAGGAGATCAGTACCATGATGTAAGAATGATGCATTTAAGTGATCTCTGTTCTGATTGGCTGTTCAGCTGAAATAGTCCTTATCACTTCAAATTGAATAGACAGATATATTTTTAAATGAGTTTTGTGACAAAATGGGCTGTTTTTTCTCCTTAGTTAGAACTGAAATTCTGTTTTGAAACCTTACCCGTGTTTACATCCTACACCAAACTCCATCAAACAGTGAGGAAGATTAGCATTTCCATTATATGGGCCTTTTAAACTATCTTAGGCCATTTTAATGTTACATTATATTATTGGTATAAATAACAGCTGCCACTGATATTTCAGTTTGCTTATGTTTGTAAACTGGTTTTCCAGCAACATAGTTCAGTCTTAAATGACGATAGATGTTAATAGAAGCAACGATAAAGTGACCCTGACTCTTTTTACCTGCACATGTCCTCGTTTTGGGACCTAAAAACCATGTCTGGCTGTGATTTTTAAAGCTTTGCTTTATTGACATTGGCTGTTTACAGTCTGCCCTGTGCCACCCTCCTGCCCCCCGTGTCCTCTTTTTTAAAAATTTAACATAGGGACATCCACAGGGTGAGAGTTCGCAACCTTTCAAGCATATATTATGGCTAACAAAGAAGCATAATAATAATAATAATAATAATAATAGTAATCAAAAGTGGGTAAATAATCAATAAAGGTAACTGATGAAAGTCTGGCACCAAAAAAAAAGCGAAAAGTCATCTCTACACTTCAACATCTCCCCAGACTGCACTGAACAGAGACGCTTAAATAGACACTCTAGCCAGACTAGGAAAACCCCTTTTGCTGATGTATCTTGAAGGTGGGAGGAAAAACTACAACATTTTTGGGGACCATACAGGACGTGCTCAAGGGCTATGTGTGCATGCATGTGTGCTTTTGTGCATAGTTAATAATACTGCTAGGAAGCACATTTCGAACTGCTTGCCCCCAAAAATCCACCCTAAAGCAGTTTTCAAAATTTCCGCCCACCTTGAAGATACATCATCAAAAGGGGATTGTCCTAGCCTGGTCAGAGTGTCCCTTTAGCTCTGACCAAAAATCTTTACAGACATAACAAAAATTAATCATTGCAGTTAGGTTCAGTGTCATTGGCTACATTCAGTCAACTATGATTGTGTCCACGTGGGCCTCTCATGATATATGCATATATGTGAATCAATGATGTATGATTTTCATCCCCTTCACCTTCCTCTCCTCTTCTGTAGATGCTCCGAGAACCTGGTTCATGATGACCTGCCCACAACCAGCGTGATCTTCTGTTTTGTGGATGAGGTTTGGTCAACTCTGCTTCGCTCCGTCCACAGCGTGCTCAACAGGTCGCCTCCTCACCTGCTCAAAGAGGTCCTGCTGGTGGATGACTGCAGCACCAAAGGTGTGTGGACACAAAAGATAAGGGCATGGGTGGGATTTCCTTTCAGTTAGAGCTGATGGAAAACTGCTTCTGCTTTCCATTACGCAATCAATCAGTTAATTGTTATATATATGTATTGCAATTTGAAAAAGTATATATCCTATATTTTATGTCGGAAAGTTTTAAGTAAACAAGCGTACAAAACTTGGGTGTAATCTTAACTTAATCTGAGTTCTGTTTTATCCCACATGTAAACAGTCATTACAGTAGCTTTTATCATTTGAGAAATATTGCTAAAGTTCTGCCTTTTCTGTCTCAGTGCGACGTAGAGAAACTTGATTACTGTTGTGCTCTTTTTACTGGAGAAGACAATCCATCCTCTACAGCTCATACCTAATGCAGCTGTATGGATCTTAAAAGGAGCAAAAAAGAGAGATAATATCACTCCCATTTTGAAAGAACTGCACTAGCAGCCTGTATCTTTTAGGATAGACTTTAAAGTGATCTAAGATCTGTATACTAGCCTTCTGACCTTCCATAAAATAAACAAAACGTGGGGCCTCTTTCAGTTATTATGTTTATGAACTGTGGAACATTTCAAAACTGATCTCTTTAATTTAGCTTTTAATTAAATGTCTACCTCTCTTTTTGTATTTACGTGTTCTTTGTCATTGCTTCATATGATTCAAATTAATACCCTTAACTTTCTTTTTTTTTCCTTTTATTGCTGTTACTGAACAGTAACTATAATAGAAGCAAATCAAACTCAATTGTAATTTCTTGTGTTACTGTTAAAATGTATCACCTGTCTGTAGAGCACTTTCAGCTGTCACTGCTATGAAAAGTGCTTTATGAAGCTATTCTTATTCTTATTAACATAAATGGATGTGCTGGTCTTCTTGAGGGGAAAAAAGGCCTGGAGGTTAATTATTAATTAATCACAATTACAACATTTCCCCCAAATCATTCAGCTGTACTTAACAGGTTTATCATACTTTTCATTGTTGTTAAGTTTTTGTTAAGTGGAATGCAGTTTTTTGAATGTATATTAATAATGCTCACTTGTATTAATGATTTTGAAGTTTATTTTAGATTATCAATTATTGTAGTTAAAGTTTCATGAATATTTGTCAAAAGACAAATTGTGGGCGTGGGTTAATTTAGCAGTAACAATATGTGTCACTGTAAAAAACGCTAAGAGCTAATATTGGGTCGGTAGTAACTTTTAAGATCGTTAGCTAAATAATGAGCTCAACATTTAAAGGGTTGAACTCATCATCCTCCACCCCAAATAAGCTTCTGAGGCACAAGGCCAGCGGGCCAAAGTCAGGCCCGTGACACAGTCCTATTTGGCCTGCAGAATTATTTTAATTTTCTGTTATTTTTTAGGCCATTGCACCCTGAGAAGCACTACAGTCCCCAGCATGCACTGCAGCATACTGTGTGTTCTAACCCCCTTCACCCAACAACAATCTGTGGGACAGCAGTTACTCAAAAAGAAAAGATGCCTGGTGTCTAATTCAAGCAGATAGGCAGTTGTTGTTTTTTTAACTACCCACAACAATTTATTTTTATTTAGAATTATTTTTGAATAATTATCCAGTGCCTATTTTGCTGTTGCAGTTTTGGCATATTTTGAATAAATAATGGCCTGTTGGGGTCATGGCTAAATTAAATAAAAACAGAGCTGCCCCATGGATTCGCTGAGATTTTTTAATATGGCCCTTTTAGTGGTTGAGTTTGACACTGTTACTCAAGTGCTGTGTGGCTCATAACAGTTTAGCTTCACCCCTTCTCTCAGAAGTTATAAGGTGAGTTTCAGCCTGGTCTGATCTTTTTGAATGAGCAACAGTGTGAGCAGACTGGATGCAAAAGCATCTTGTGTAATCTCTTTTAATTCTACATGAAGCACAAGGTACTCTTGTAAGCTATGTAGTAATAGCATCGAGAATCAGTTGTTATGAAGCACAGATTGGTTGTAATCTTTCTCTTTCTCTTGGTGTGTTGTAGACTACCTGAAGGAAAAGCTGGATGTTTACATGTCTCAGTTCCCCAAAGTGCGGATCATCCGCTTGAAAGAGAGACAGGGGCTGATCAGAGCGAGGCTGGCTGGAGCTGCTGAAGCAAAAGGTAAATACATGCGAGCAGGCAAGCATGAAAACATACATACAAAACCTCACAATGTTTCACACTGTTTCACATTAAAATTCATACTGAGACTCACAAACACACAAATGTGTACGAACAGAATGCGCTTTCTTTCTCAAGAATGCAAATATATCCAAATGCATGCAGGTATACAAATGTATACCAACACATGCAAATACCAAGACACACAGATTGTGTAGCACTGCAGTGCATCCTGTTATTTCATCCTCTGTAAAATGAGTATCAGCAAGTTATTTCCTTCTATGCAAAACTGTCCTGGGGCCTGTGTCACAAAGCAGGATTTCTTGCATAGCCAGCTAGTTTTGGTTTGATACTGCTGTCGATTTTCTCCAGGGTGGGTTAAGTTTGGGATTTCGGATCATAAACAGCTCTTGGACCAATCAGGGCCAAGCTTTAGACCAATTAGGGACAGCCTTCTGACAGAGGCTTAGAGTCCTTAGTTTTGGGGCAGCAGTCACATGAAGAATATTGCTTTTTTCAGCAAAGGAAGCAAATCATGTTACATAGACATTAAGAAGTCAAAGCAGTTATTACTCCAGTAAGCCTTAGGATGTGGCAGTGGTGGCAGTGTTTCTTTTTTACTGCCATATATTCTTTACGTTCTACATGGAATTATAATAATCCTAAGAACTCACTGAAATTATAATAATCATAAGAACTCACTTTCTGCTTGGAATTATAAGGTTCTGTCTGGCGAAACATGAAAAGAAGCAGTGATTTCCATGGAATACAAACAGTTTACTTGTCATTTATTGTAAAACATTATTTTTCTTTGCATGAAGAGTATCTACGTGTATCAGAAAGTTAAATGTAATGCTTTCTATGACATTTTTATGGCATTATATTTTTATTATTTATTCATTTTTTAGGAATTTTATTTATCGTTTTAGGACAAATCATCTTTTTCTTCTTCAAAAAAAGCATTTATTGATAGATTTAGTATAAAGGTCAGTGCTAAATATTTTGTCTAGTGCAGAGATCAATTTTAGGTAGGAACCATTAGTTTCCTTTAGGTTTCACAGCAACCAGCTACTGTAAAACTGTCCTAAAAAGTAAGTGTAGCAGGTCAGTATAAAGGCAGTATTTCGTGTTGTTTTATATCAGAAATGTTGACTCTAAGGCAACAAAATGTCTTAATTTGGGAGAAAGAAGAAAAAGAAAAGGTGGATGAATGAAGTTTGTGTTTATATTGTAATTAAGACCCCATGAATTCAAATGTATACTACTTAGTCACCTTTAAGGCTTAACATTTATAACATGTTTCATAAAGTTTCATAAACTTGCACTGTGGCAACATGACAAAAAAGCAGAACCTGATTGGTCCTCCTGTGTGTATTCGAAGTGCTGATTGGCTCGCACTTAGAACCTTCTAGAATTAAGTTAGAGTTTGACTTTGGAGATAGAACCTTTTTTGTTTTCTACATAAAGAGCCCAAAACTCCATGCAACTTAAAAAACAGCTCACAAGATGCTAAGAAGTCGTCAGAGAATAAGAACATGTGAAGAACTTCATAATTCCAGGAGGACGTTATGTATGTAGTATGATTTCACACAGGGATTAATCATAGGTCAGTATATAAACCTAGGTGAACAGAAAAGGCTGTTAACCACCTTCATGAAATGAGTTAACCCTGGTTCCACTTGTTAGGCTTTGTGCAGCTGAAGTTTAGTCAGGAACCCTACCTAAGTTAAACTTGCTTTGAGAGACAGGCCCCTGGTCTGCTACGTGCTTGCCTATAGCAGGTTGTTTACTTGCTGTGCAGGTGATGTGCTGACTTTCCTGGACTCCCATGTCGAGTGTAATGTGGGCTGGCTGGAGCCGTTGTTGGAGAGGGTCTATAATGACCGCAGGAAAGTAGTCTGCCCTGTAATTGACGTCATCAGCGACAAGGACATGAGGTAACAGGGCTTAATTTACATTAACATTACATCAGTGATGACACATTTTTCCCCTTATTCTAAATGCTAAATATAGTCAATCTGTCTAGACATGTTTGGTGTTTGAAATTTACTTCTTTAGTTTAACTGAAACTACAAGGCTAATGAAGCTCATGTGCCCCAATTAGCATTGTACAGAATGCATGGCTAAATTATCATACACATGCTTCAAGCCATATTGAGTTAAGCAATCTCAGTAGACTTTGTTTCACTGTTGTTTTAAAAAATATGGACAAAAGTATGTCAAATGAAACTGTATACTTTTGTAGATTACTTCCAACTTTTACTAATAATTGTAATTTATTTTTTTAGGTAACTGTCTTGCAGGCCTATTTGAGATGAAAATATACGTTTTTTTTAGTTGAAACGTGACTTTGAGCAAAGGCACTGACTGTATAAAGTCCTGATCCCTGAATGCTTAGTAGTAAATGTGCACCAGCCAGCAAGGGTGTCTGATGGCTCACGTAGATAGTTAGGCAACTGAACAGTCAGCTTTAATCAACATTGCCTATTCTGTGCAGTTATGTGCTGGTGGACAGTTTCCAAAGAGGCATTTTCAAATGGCCGTTAGTGTTCGGCTGGAGCACGCTACCAGAGGACTACGTCAAAAAGAAACACATGAAGGACTCAGACCCCATCAGGTAACGCTTACTGACAATTCTGACATCTGAACTGTGATTACTAAAGTAGTTCGATTAATGTAACTGATTCAGTTGAGTTAATTCCATTCTTAATTAAAAGCTGTGGTGTTAACGAGTCTAATTTAACTCTAAATTCAACTCTATATAGCAAAACCAAATATTACACATACACTATATGTAATGTGATATTAGGTTTTCCTATGATCAAATGCAGTTCATTTGCCTTGCTGATGTGCATAGGAGCCCAGCTGACTGCCTGTTCCCTCGGGGGAAGAGCTAATGGTCACAGTAATGAGAGAAATTCAGCACGACTGCCATCTACTGCAAAACTTTTCCAACTTTTTTCATTGTTTGTATTTGCTTTTATTTGCCAGATGTCCTGTGATGGCAGGAGGTCTATTCTCTATAGATAAGAAGTATTTTTATGAGTTGGGAGCGTATGACCCAGGCCTGGATGTGTGGGGAGGGGAGAATATGGAGATCTCATTCAAGGTAAAGTAACCATGAAACCAGTTTTTTTAAACTTAATATGACACTTTCTGCCCCACTGTATTAGTGTTTAGGAAGCAAAGTTAGGACTTCAGTTAAACTTTATTTTCATGTGTGCTACACCCAGAATTCAGGTATCATCATAAAAAGCTATATCTAGTTTGAAACGTCCTTGGCATGGAATAATGAAGGCTTTATATGGTGTACAAAGTCCTAATCTTGTTTTTATTGATTTTTAGAATTATAGTTCTACAAATATACAACCATAGTTTATTCTTAATGCTGTGTCTTGGTTCCATTCAACCACAAATCCATAATCTTATCACCAGATCTTCACATCAGAAAGACATACATGGTGACAGCACAGTGTATCAATGAATCATTAGGGTTTTATCATGATCAGTTAAGGATAAATGATTCATTGATTAAAGGTTAAATAACAAATGAACAGTTGTTTGATTCAATGTATTTAAAAAAAATGTAAATTTGATTTTATTTAGGTGAGGAACATTCTAAACTGGACACGTGAGATATAGGCCTTCTAAGAAAATGAAGCATGCAGCTAAAACAGGTCTTCAGAACCATTTTTGAGAGGTTGATAGCACAGCTACAATGGTGTACCACACTGAAAGCAACCATCCGCAAGTGATAACACAGAAACCTATTTTGACCATGTTCTCCTTGATAAAGTGTGGAGGGGTGGGGAAATCACCCACTGACATGTAAAATTATAGAGAAGGACGTCTGGATGGTGATGGCTTTTGAGAACTGCTAAGGAGCACTGAGCTAAAGCTAGCTCCAGTTATGGTATTTATATTTTAATTTGGGCTAGGAATGAGTAGTAAATATGACTTTAGAATGTAGAATGTACAATCATAAACATATTACAATTGTCAGCCCCTTGGTTTAAACTAAACTGGCTTCTTATGTAGGGCATGTTTAAAATGGTGTTGTGCTGATTACGTCACATGCATGCTGATGCTTGGCCCCACCTATCAGCACTACATTCTACCGTCCATACAAGGAACACTTTTTAATATCTCAGTGCATTGGTACAGAATTCAATTGATGGCATGCACTCATAAATGTGTGTATATCAAGTATTGTGGCTTTAAATGCAGTTCAGCCAATCAGATTTTACAACCACAGTTATCTGTTTCAGAATTGATATTTTGATGGGCCGCATGCTTTAATTGTAGGCTTGCTTGTTAACGGTTAACTGCCAACTAAAGGCGTTCGGTTATTGGTCAAATGAATTGGTCAAAACTGCATTTCTAATTGATCATTTAAAAAACTTAAACCATACAGTCCTTACCTGTAGTTTTGTTACGCTACAGCTACAGCTCCATTCAACCACAAATCTACTGAGATATGTATATAATATATACATTTTTTTTTCATCAGATCTGGATGTGTGGTGGTGAGATTGAGATAATCCCGTGCTCTCGTGTCGGCCATATCTTCCGCGGCGAGAACCCATATCAATTTCCCAAAGACCGGCAGAAGACAGTGGAGCGGAACCTGGCGCGAGTGGCAGAGGTGTGGCTGGACGAGTATAAAGAGGTGTTTTATGGCTATGGCTACCTACATCTGCTGGACAAGAACGTGATAGACGTTGGAAACCTCACAGCACAGATCCAGCTGCGGGAGAAACTCAAGTGCAAGAGCTTTAAGTGGTACTTGGACAATGTCTACCCTGAGCTGGAGGCTCCGGTAGTCAAAGCTGAAGGCCTGGTAAGTACAGTAATTGCAGTAATGTAAACATTTTATAGGCCAAAACAGTTTTTATAGAAATGCTACCATATTTTCCAAATTCTCAATTGTTATGTTTATCTCTGAAAATGCCGTGCCTCTCCTGTCTTGTCCAGCGCATAGTAATTTGGTCAGTTGTTTTGTTTTTCTCGGAGTGAGACAACTGAGTCTTTGTTAAGTGTTTAATGTTTACAAGGCCCCATCAGTCTAAGTCTCCTTGTGATTTGATTGAAGCCTTTGTTTCAGTGAATCGGGGCCAAAGGAGAAACATCACTTTCAACCACAGTGTAACCCATCTCTCTGTCACATTGAGTGTAATGATGACCTTTCAACTATTTTCCTGTAGGTTTTCAATGTGGGCACCCGCAAGTGTCTGGCACTGAACAACGGCTCTTTATCTTTTGAGATCTGTGATCTTAGCAAGCAGGTAATCCCCTATGATACACCTATCATTCTCTATATACAGACCTCTTTTTATGTTTTTATGTGATAAGATTGTTCACCGCCATGAGTCATATAAGGTGATAGAATACTATGCATGCCGGCAGACTCTGGTACTGACTGTTGGCCTTGTCCTCCATCTTTCAGAGCCAGCACTTCAACTACAGCTGGGTAAGAACAGTCCGCCAGAAAGCTTTCTGTGTGGCTCCACAGGGCACAGGAACAGGCGTGACCATGGAATCATGTGACAGCACTAAGCCACACCTTCGCTGGCTGCATAAATCCAATAAAGTCCTGGTATGTTATGTTGTGTTGAAAAAACAGCCTCATATCACTGAAGATTAGTTGTTCAGTTTAGAATGTAAATAAGACAGGATCGCCTTATCAGTGGCAGTTTGTGATGAGTCTTTAATAAAGTAGTAGCATCTTGGAGGTTTAGGTGACAAGTAATTCTTTAAAGATCATACTTTAAATTTTAAACTTTACTTTCTAGTATTAACTATATCTATTTTCTGCATTTTTTCACTTATGTAACATTGCTCATCTTCGCCAGTTCCTGACTGATAATGATGCACAAACTTTGGTTCATGTCTTCATTATGATGTCCCGTATTGATTTCCTTCTTTGTTGGTCTCCCTGTAAAGTCTATACAAAAGCTACAGTACATTCAGAACTCTGCAGCAAGAGTTCTCACCCTTACTAAGCGCTCATCTCACATCACTCCCATTCTCTCTGTTACACTGGCTTCTGGTCCTGTTCCATATAAAGTTAAAAATTTTACTACTTACTTTCAAAGCCCTGCATATCATTGCACCCCTCTACTACAGAGAAGTCCTGACTTCTTACACTCCCTCTTGCTCTTTTAGGTCTTCTTGTAATAACTTACTTGCTGTCCCACGCACCAACTTTCCACTTTGGGAGGCAGGTTCTTCAGTGCCAAGGCCCCCAAACTCTGGAACTCTCTTTTTCTTTCCGTTTTTCTTCTTTCTTTCTATTTTTCTTCCTCCTTCACAGCTTAGTCTTTTAATGCTTAGTGTCTTTCCTCTTTGTTATGTAAAGCGACCTTGGGATTGCGAAAGACACTATATAAATGTAACATTATTATTATTATTATTATTATTATTATTATTATTGTTGAGATTCTCTTACATTGGGCTAGCTGTAAAGGGTGTAACCATACACACACACCGATCAGGCATAACATTACAACCACCTCCTTGTTTCTACCCTCATTGTCCATTTTATCAGCTCCACTTACTATATAGGTGCACTTTGTAGCTCTACAATTACAGATTGTAGTTCATCTGTTTCTCTGCATACTTTGTTAGCCCCCTTTTACCCTGTTCTTCAGTAGTCAGGACCCCCATGGACCCTCACAGAGAAGGTACTATTTGGGTGGTGGATCATTCTCAGCAGTGCAGTACCACTGACATGGTGGTGGTGTGTTAGTGTGTGTTGCGCTGGTACGAGTGGATCAGACACAGCAGTACTGCTGGAGGTTTTAAACACTGTGTCCACTCACTGTCCACTCTATTAGACACTCCTACCTTGTCAGTCCACCTTGTAGATGTAAAGTCAGAGACGATAGCTCATCTGCTGCCGCACAGTTTGTGTTGGTCATCCTCTAGTCCTTCAGCAGTGGTCACAGGACGCTGCCCACAGGACGCTGTTGGCTGGATATTTTTGGTTGGTGGACTATTTTCAGTCCAGCAGTGACACTGAGGTGTTTAAAAACTTCAGCAGCACTGCTGTGTCTGACCTACTCAGACCAGTGCAACACACACTAACACACCACCACCACAACTAATACCACCACCACCACCACCTCTAGAAAATGGTCATGTAAAAATAAATAATTGCTGTTTTTGGTACATAAAATCACACAAATGTTATAATTTGACCTCAGGGGACTAAAAATAAGATGCATAAAAATGTAGGGGATGGGCTCTTTAATAACATGGGCTATTGTTCAGGTGTGTCATTTGCCTTTCCAATGTGTATGTCTTTCAGCCAGAGCATCTGATTGCAGAGGTTTCCCCCAGAGGTATGTTCCAGAGGGTGTGTCTGGAGGGAGGGCCTAAAGCCGACAGCGTGTATCTGAATGCGTGTGATACGTCCAGCCTCTTCCAAAAATGGCAGTTCACACACTACTATGCACGCTGAGCCTCGCACAGACGTATTCACCTGCCTCCATGTGGCTCAGCAGACCAGGTTTTTCATCTTGCTTTGTCAGGATGAAAACATTTAGACGTGTTACACAGTGTTTTAAGTGATGGAGAGATGCATGTGTAGAGTTTATGTAGTTTCGGTACAAGGGATGTTTTAAGGGTTTGTGCAATGTTTTTGTTTGGGGCAGATGTTTTGATATTGTTCTTTTTTTTAGCTGGTCTGGAGTAGTTTTGTGGACAGCTGCTCCACAAAGTCATGGTTTTGTTTTGTTTTGTTTTATTTTTTTTTTAGACACTAGACATCTTTAAACTTTATTCATCGATAGCTGTGTTTGTTTTTGCAAACAAATATTTGAAGTGCCTGAAAAAGGAGGTACGGTGTACTGTTTGTAGTATGCCAGAGAACACTTAAGTGAAATCATAGACGAATGTGGTAATTCGTCAACAATGGGGAACAGTGAAGATTACTGGATCCAAAGGGACACACTACCACTTCAACTCCATTCAGCCAGCTTCAGATGGAAAAAGGACAATTTAGTAGAGAAGTTGGATCATGTTTGCTCTATTCAGTTAATTCCTTTTACCGTGTCTGCTCTTATTTTTGTTCTATTGCTAGCAGACGCGGGTAGAGTGGCCTGAAATCCTCAACTACATGTATTGTTACTTCAGTAAATGACTAAAGTACAAATAAAACTAGCTACCAACCGTTCAGGAACTTTAGTGAAAGGGTATCAGATCAGGTACTAGATTCTGTATAATTGTAGAAGCGCTTCTTTGTACATCCAGCATCTATCAGCACACGAACTAAAGTTTGTTGGTTGTTCTTCTTCTCTTTTTTGGTCCTATTAGTCTCATTAGAAAGCTAGAGCAGTTTTAAAGCAGTCCAGAAGCCGAACCAACAGAACAGAATTAAATTAGCCCTCCAAAAAAAGAATTGACTAAATTGGTGATATTTCTAAAATGGAAAAGTTAATTAAAATGAATCAGTGTTATACATATGTACATAAAACTGGAGCAAGTTACTACTCACCTCTGTTCCCTGGAGCCAGACAGCCCAGGGCTTTGGAATGTTAATGACATGGAAGGAGATTTGGGAGCTGGATTTCGGCAAAAACGTCAGTTGGCTACAGGCCTGGAGGATTGGATTGAAAACCTCTAATCTGTATAAACAATTTCAAGACCAGATGAGAATACCTAACTCCATAGACATGCATTAAATCTTATCTGTAAGAAGTAGAATTCCAGGAATACCCATGTGTTTTGAGTACCTCAGTGCAGGTTTCTAATCCTTCTCTTTTATGCATGTGCTTTTACTTTATGCAACATGCACTAAAACGTACATACAGGTACATCTCACTTAGTGGTTTCTTTTGGTACAAGCATTGTATGTTTAGATAATTATGTTGTTTACAGTGATGCATCGCTCCAGATTTGAGAGATAATTTACCCTTTGTGGCACTAGAGGGAGCTGTTTACAATGTTTTTAAGAAAGTTTTTCTGTTGTTTTTGTGTTTTCCTTTGGGGGGTTGTTGTGGAGGCTGTTAGAGGTGTTTTGAACAAATTAAATTTGATTTTATTAAAGATTTAACTATTTCTTTAAAATGTTATCTGTGCTGTATAATGAACAATTTTAGGTGTTGTGTCCGTTTTTTCCATGAAGACAAAGAAAAGCTTAACACAGGTATGTATTATCATGCAAGGGCAAGCACAAAGAATTTATTATTTACTATTAACCATTTTTGTCCAATTTTTAGACTATAGTAAACAAAAAAACTCTATCCATACTGATCATTAAAATTATGACTCATGTACTTACAGTAATTCTGAACAGGAAGTGTTGAATCTTTTCTTTGTAATTTAAGAAAGTACCTGCTTACTGTACAGCCCTGTAACCCAAATCTGGTAAAAAATAACAAATCCTGCAACAAACCCAGCCCAGCTGACCCAGTTAAAGTCCAATTGGCAAAATGTAAAGAACCACAGAATACAGTGCAGTCTTTACAGAGGACAGTGACTTTTTGTTGTTTTGGCTCTCTACTCCAGCACACTGACATATGAAAAGTGAGGTGCAGCATGAATTCTTAATTCAAAGATATGGTGCTGGTGTTCTCGCAACAAAGAGAACCAAAGAAGTGTCACTGCCAGTAAAGAATAAAAATAAACATGAAGAAGAAGCAAGAATTCATTTGTGAGTAGCAATAGTAAACAACCTCACAGGATATGGAAGACCACATTAGTGCATGACAGAGAAAAGACGAAAAAGCTTTTGCAGATTATGAGCACTCCAGGATACAGGCATCGATTTGCAAAAGCCCACCATAAAGTGAAGACTACACCTGCATAACCTCAAAGGTTTCACCACATCGTGCGAAACCATGTTACAGTTTCCTAAAAAGCAAATTAAAGGAAATAAAAGCCTACGGAGTTCTGTTATTTAGTCAGATGAGATCAAGATGCAGGCCCGATTCTAAGAAGGTACAAAGGTTTGCATCACATCATCAGTTTTCATTTGTGTACCCACAGTTCCCTCAGCTAACACCTGCCTAAGACTAATGCCATAGCGTGCAGGCAATTCTTAGGTATGTAAAGGGAGTCTGGTAGTCCCGTATGAAGACTAATCAGTTTACATAGCGCTTATATAGCTGATAAATCTTCAGACATTTGTGTGATCACTGTAAATGGTGTATTGTGCAGTTAGCGTTCACTGCCATTAAAAAAATAGATTTTACTAATTAATCAAACATAGCCAGAAAGTAGGCCTTGTGTTGTGGACATGCACCAATATTTTGACAAACAGGATTTGAATATCCTGAAGAGAACCATACTATTATATAGCACCACTTTTCCATAAGCACCCCTGATCATCTCCACAAATTAGCAATTAAAGCAGCACTTTCCTACCCCTATTTACACCGATCAGGCATAACATTATGACCACCTCCTTGTTTCTACACTCATTGTCCATTTTATCAGCTCCACTTACTATATAGGTGCTGAGAATGACCCACCTCCCAAATAGTACCTGCTCTGTGAGGGTCCATGGGGGTCCTGACCACTGAAGAACAGGGTAAAAGGGGGGCAAAGTATGCAGAGAAACAGATGGACTACAGTCTGTAATTGTAGAACTACAAAGTGCACCTATGTAGTAAGTGGAGCTGATAAAATGGACAATGAGTGTAGAAACAAGGAGGTGGTCATTTCTGATGCAAACAGTGATTTTTTACCGGGACTATCAAGATGAACCTGTACCCCAGTGATGGAACGAGGAAAGTGTGGAGAAAAAAGGAACAGCTCATCTGTGAAACTCATCTATGAAGCTAGCTGTTCTGGGAATCGTGTATGATTGCCAGTGGAACTGGATTACTCGACTTCAATGTGTTTGATGATGTGATTACTGATGGCAGAAGCAGGACGACTTCCGAAGTAAACAGAAGCATCTTAACTGCTCAGATCCAACCAAATGTCTCAAAACTCAGTGGACAGTTCAGTGGATGGCACTTCATGTTCCAGCAAGACAGTGACCCAAAGCGTACTGCTAAAGCAGTTATGGAGTTTTTCAGGCCCAACCTGAGCTCCAGAGAACAGTGTTTCACGTACTGAAGACTAAGGATGTGGATGAGTACTCGAGTTAACCATTCAAGGTCCTAGTGTTCCAATACTGAAATCAGTATTCAGGTATTTGTTGTTTTATCACAGAAAGACGAGAAAATATGTGTAAAAATTCAATGAAATGCTCATTTTATGTTTTAACAGAACAGAGTAAAATGTGGTGAGTGCTCTCATATTTGTACAAACCAAATTCCAAAAAAGTTGGGACGGTATGTGAAATTCTAATAAAAACTAAAATTAGTGATTAATAAATCTACTTTGACCTATATTTGAATGAAACATTATGAAGACAAGATATTTAATGTTTTATCTCATTAACATCACTGGGCCTCAATCTCCAATATCTTTTTTCTTAAGTTTGTTTTTGCGAAACGTTCTAAGAAAAAGTCTACATCAGATTCATGGCGTGTTTTTAAACCTCAGAACTGTTTGCACCTTTGTGCTCTTGAGTGTGAGTAGATTCTGTTCTCACCTAAGAACAAATGGGTTTTAAAAAGAAATTTCTTCTCAAGAATGGTTGTTGAAAGAGGCCCATTGTTTTTTTTGTAAATATATGTTCGTTTTGAAATTGATGCCTTCAACACATTCCAAAAAAGTTGGGACAGGTACAATTTAAGACTAGGAACATTGTGAAATGTTCAAAAAACAACTTAAAGAGATGATGTACCCATTCTTTGCTTTAAAGGAGCATCCAGATGAGGCCTAGTCTTTTACGAGTAAGGATGGCTCAAGGCCAGCCACTTTGCCAAAAATGCATCAGCAAAGAATCCAACCATGTATTATTTCTACTACGATGTGGGGGTGATTTATTGCAGGCGTGTTACCAAAGATATGACTGAGAAGACAAAGAGAGCGTGGTCAGTGTAACGAAAATAGTACTTCTCACATGTTAACCCTCCTGTTATATTGCGGGTCAAACTGACTCATTTCAAAGCTTAAAAATATATATTAAAAAAATGTTATTCATTTTTGGAGTATGAAACATTTTCTACTGGGCTTTATTAGTGTAAAGAACAAGTAAATGGAAAATGACTAACATAATGTGTTTTCAAGCCCCGCTGCATGTTTATATTATACACACACAATGTTCAGGTCAACTTGATCTAGCAGGAGGAATGGAGGCTAAAAAGGGTAAAAACTTATTTGTTTTCTTTTCAAATTTAAGGCACAGTGTGGCTGCCTAATCCCTCCCAACCACACACATGTACACACCAAACCTCACATACACACCCACACCTTAACCAGAACTACTACTAGCCTAACCCTAACCTTAATCTTACCCTAACCTTACCTTAAAATTTAAAGTTTCGTCATATGTACACTAAGCATGTGCAAATTTCTACACGTGTGAGTTTAAGTTTAATTTGTCAGCTTTAGAAAGCATCAAACCCATAAAATAAGCAGGAAACTTAAATGGTGGCATTACAGAATCAGCGTGTGGAGGAGGAGCAAAGGAGCATCTGGTCATGTCTGTCGTCAGGCAGCCTTTGATTACAAAGGATCTGCAATCAAGTACAAACAAAGCATTTTTATCCATTATGTTTATTTATTTTATAATGAAATTAGTCATGAATCCTTTACCTCAGATAGTAAAGCTGACACACTATACTTTAATTTCACTTTCATCTGAAATCCAATAGGCTGGAGTCACAAAACAACCCCAAAAAAACATCATTGTCCAATAATGTACAGACAAACTGAATGTCAGTTTAAATATAACACATGCCACTGAAAGGACTGATAGCCAGACTGATAGCCAAGTGTAGATTTTGTTGTGTTTACTTTACACTATTCTCTTTTATTGTTACCCTCTTGCAGTGTAAGCTGATAGAAATCTATTCCACAGCAGTGATTATTGTCCTTCCAGTCTGTTTAATTCATAAATATTAAGTTGGCCATGTTTTGCAGAAACTTTACTTAATATCAAGGTTCATTCTGATAATATTTATGCACGTGAGTGTACAGGATGAAGGCACACGTGTTAACAGTGTAGCCAAGCTGCAGCATGAACTGACTTAGCTTAGACTTAGCTGTACAAATATTCCAGTAATGAGTCTTCTGTTTGGAGGATTGTGTGCCTTCATCCTCTTATTTGTTTAGTCTCGTAGTGTTTTAGTGTTTAATTAACCTAGTATTTTCTCATATTTCTCAGCTCAGAAATCCCATCCTAATAGCTCACTGTAGCTTCACACAAGGGAAACTGGGTCATTCATTGATAACTGACCTATTAAATGAACCACAAACATTTACTTACTCTCAACAAGTCAATGAGGAAAATAACAAAAAAAGTCTCTTTTGTTAGAAAAGCTGTTGCAGCTCAAGCAAATTCAGTCAGTCTAGTCCTTGAACTCACGTTTCCTTGAGGCCCTTCAGCACATTTTCAGAGCTGCATCATGGCCTCAAACTCCTCGATCCTCTGTCGTGCAAGGCCTCTGCGAATCCGCCTGTATGAGACCGTTCCATACTTCGCTTGGCGCGAGTGGTCAGATGATTCGTTGCCTTGGGCCGGCTCCTCTGTGTCTTCATGTCCTTCAGCTGTGGCAGTGCTTCCATCTGCCCTTGCTGTGTCTGGAAAAGGAGATTTTTTCTGTGTCCCAAATCAAGACCTCATTTTGTTTACGGTCAAGTAACATAGGATCTGACTGAGCCCTTGTTGTCTGTGTAGTACATTAACTGTGCGTTTCTCTATTTCAGAGGGTGGCTAGTGTAGAAATTACCCTTGGAATCTCTTGGAAACGTTAGCCCCTTAACAACATTCTACAAGGCACCTCAAAATGTAGGACACTAACTGTCAGTTACGGCACTAACTGACATACTATATCCCAATTGAATTGCAAAATCTGTGTAATTGAATGGTTAAAATGGAAACAGTCATTCAGAATGGTTTGAATTGAAATGCTCCATTCCAGAGAAACATACACTCATAATTGTTCACAGTGGTGGTGATAGGAACTAGATATTCTGAGTGCTTAATGCCTGTAAAAGCTACATCACAGAAGGTGAACACATAAAATAGTTACGAGTGCATTGGCTAACACCTTAAACATTGTTTTACGATAGTGTTGAGATATTTTTTTGGCCTAAAACATATTTTTTAAAACTATTAATGGCAGAGATGTACATGCAAGCGTTATTAGGCAAAATAGTCCCCAAAGAAAATTTATTTTTTCAGACTCACAGATTTTTTATCATCATTAATTCTATTCAGTTTTCAATACTGGGTTCACAGTTTGGTATCGTCACAATACTTTAAACAAAATTTGAATGAAGAAAAATGACTGTAATCATGTTGTTTCACAACATATGGATTATATTAGAGGTAGGATTCAAGAGGTGTACTGCAGTGGTTTGTTGCTTGGTGCTGATTTTCTGCAAACCCTAGTGTTCAAAAAGTGCAATTGCATGTACAAGGATTATAATATTATGTCTGTTCTCCTGTTCTCTGTCCACGATGCACACTGTCACTGTTTTGCATTGTGATATTCTAGTGTCATGATGCATTGTTACACCCTATTAGACATACCCTTGTATCTCCATTTTTTGCATTTCTTTTAACATAATTTAAAATTGCCAGCTGTCATTTACACTGTGTCAAAATTCCATGATGAACGGACCAGTAGGAATGGTTTGGAACCAAATCTTATATGACATTGAAAGTTAAAGGGGAATCCTTTGTTTCTTTAGGACTGGTTTGTCTTACAATAACCTTTATGTGCCCCTCTACCATGAATAAAAATACACTGTAGGCCAAAAGCCTATCTCAAAACTATTGCAAAACAACGTTTCATATATCAAGCAAGCCCAGAGGACTTTTGACTCAGCAGACAGGTACCAATGGGCAAAAAAGGTAGCAGCAATGGCAGTGGCAGAAGCAAAATCCAGAACATAGGAGGAGTCTGGAGAGGCTATCGAAAAAGACTTTTGTTTGGCTTCAAGGAGATTCTGGACAACCGTCCAGCAACTCAGGAGCAGTTAGAGTGGCTTTGCACAAGCTGTATTCAGCAGAGGTGAATGTGTCCATAACATGTCTCCATCACAGGAGTCAGGGCCAGAGGCCTCTGGGGTGTCAGACTCCATTTCCCTGGTGGAGGTCACTGAGGTAGTTGGCAAGCTCCTTGGTGGCAAGTCACCAGGGGTGAATGAGATTCACCCAGAAATGCTTATGGCTCTGCATGGCTGACATGCCTTTGCAATGTCACATGGACCTCGGGAACAGTACCCTTAGACTGGCAGACCGGGGTCATGGCCCCTATTTTTAAGAAAGGGGACCGGAGAGTGTGTGCCAATTACTGGGGTATCACACTGCTCAGCCTTACTGGGAAAGTTCATGCCAAGGTGCTGGAAAGGAGACTCCAGCTGATAGTTGAACCTCAGATTGAGGAGGAACAGTGCAGATTCTGTCCTGGGTGTGGAACAGTGGACCAGCTGTTCACCCCTACGTGGATTGCTGAGGGGGCATGGGAGTGTGCCAACACAGTATACATGTGTTTCATAGACTTGGAGAAGGCTTATGACTATGTTCCACAAGATATTCTGTGAGAAGTCCTCTGGGAGTATGGGGTGCCAGGGCTACGACTCCAGGCCATTTGGTTTCTGTACGCCTGGAGTGAGAGCTGTGTCTGTATACTCAGCATTAAGTCTAGCTGGTTCATTGTGGGTGTTGGACTTCACCAAGGTTGTGCCTTGTCTCCACTCCTGTTCGTGATATTCACGGACAGGGTGTCAAGGCATAGGCAAGATCAGGAGGGCATTATGTGTGGAGGCCAGAAGGTGTTATCTCTGCTTTTTGCAAATGATTTTTGCATAAGTCTGAGTCCATGGTCCTTGCCTGGAAAAGGATGGCATGCCCACTCCAAGTAAGGGGGGAGGACCTGCCCCACGTGGAGGAGTTTAGGTATCTCGGGGTCTTGTTCATGAGTGATGGAAAGAGGGATCGTGAGATTGGCCGCAGGCTGGGACAGGCGGTAGTAGTAATGCAGTCACTGTACTGGACTGTAGGGGTGAAGAGTGAGCTGAGCCATAAGGCAGAGCTTTCTATTTACCAGTTGATTTACATTCCCACCCTCACCTACAGTCAGTCTTTGGGTAATGACCGAAAGAATGAAATCATGGATACATGTGGCGGAAATGAGCTTTCTTTGCAGGGTGGCAGGCTACACTATACTTGATAGGGTGAGGAGCTCAGTCATCTGAGCACATTGAGAGGAGCCAGTTGAGGTGGTTCGGGTGTCTGATCAGGATGCCCCCTATACCCCCAGAATGAGCTGGAGGAAGTTGTGGGGGTACAGGGGCGTCTGGGATTCTCTGTTTTCTCTATTGCTACCGTGATCCTAGCGGGATCAAGGGGTTTAAGAAAATGAATGAAGCAAAGGACTCATGCCCATTTCACACAATAACTTTCTGTAAAAGTCACTTTAAAAGGCATTATGTATTCCAGACGTCTGGGTCCTATTAAACCAATCTGAACAACTTTTTTATATCATAACGATTATGCAGAAATTTTGAAAATTCAGAGGTTACTTTTTGAAAATACAATGTCTTGTTCCATCACCAATGATATACCATACTATTTGGGTGTGAAAGTCATTAATGCATGACTTCTGCGATACACTATTTAAAACAGGTTCAACAAAGAATTGAATTCAGGATGGCAGCCAAACCAGCAATCATTCTAACATGCATCACTAGAACTTATGTTGAAATGTAGATGTTATCAGCGTTTTGTTAGCTATTAGATTGTTTGCCATATCTTTGCTAACATCTGTGTAGGCAGCCTCTCGGTTATTTTGGCAGTATTTGGCTTCCTGCTATGTTATCAAAGTCGAGTGTGCAGTTAGTTTACATGTGGCCATCGCAGTTTTTCTGAAAGTGCTGAGTATCCTCAACACTGATAACTTCAGTGTTCCCCTGATAACTTTATCAGTTCACTGTTTTTCATTCCACACATACTAATTCACTACATATAGAGAAAGGGGCTGATTTCAAATACATTGCTAGGTACTTTTCTACCTGTTAGAGAAATAGTGCAGACTGTGCAAGCCATTTTGTGGTGGAATTCTCTGTAGTAAGTTATGAGCATAAATCTAGTCTCCTGTTTATCAGTGTATGCACGATACTGATTATCTGACAGAACACAAGGACTAGTGTCGAGTCCTAGAAACAATAACAAATTTGCTTTAGCAATGACTGAATAACTCCTATACTTGTTTTATATGATCTGATTTGCATCTACTGTTATCTCATAGTGGAAATGTGAAAATGTTCACTGTGCTAGCAATGCGGCTAGTTATGGTGGATCAACACCAGGAGCAACTAGCACCTGGGCCTAATTAATCTCAGTCAGCTTTACGCTCCATGAATGACGAAAGTTGTAATGATGAATTAGATGATGCTCCTGTTACTGCAGTGCACTTTTGCTCTAGTTACAGTATGAAATAGTTTTGTATTATTATTATTATTATTATTATTATTATTAGTTTTGCCCTTAAACCAAACCATAGCCAGGCAAAAAGACATACCACTGTAGAACTTTAAGAAGCTAAAAGATAGTGTATGGGTTTGAGCTACTGAAAATATAAAGTCAACCTTGATTTATACACGAGATTAACCCATTAATGTCCATATCAGACTTGTTTCCTGAGATGTTTGCCTGAGCACAGATCTTACAAACCTTTAGAAATGTTTAAAATCAATCGAACCAAAAAGCTAAAAAGGTGTAAATCCCTTCAATTATTATGTTAATCCTAATCTTTTTGGTCACGACTGCTAAGTTTTCAATAAATCAATAGAAATTCTTACTACAGTTTGATGGTGAACAAATTTATTTACATTAAAAAATCCAATGTTTTTTATCCAGTGCATATCTATACATAATTTCATCACTTTATGCCAACCAGAATGAGTTCTGTGGCATTTATCCTTATACTGAATTTAGTTGTTGGTCATGAATGTTAATGTATTCTAGGGGACTGTTTACATTGTTGGTCATTGATGCTGTCATGTAGATAAAGACCTTAAAGGACAATTTCTAGTAACGGAAATGGTTCTATATAGAATCATGAACACTCAAAGAACCCTTTACATGATTAAAGGTTTTTTGCATCAGTAAAGCATTCTTCAGATTGATGGGCAATGTGCTGTAGATAGTTCTATATAGAACCTTTTTGAAAAGGGTTGCTTGACATCCTAACAACAGAAGAACCCTTTTCAAAAAGGTTTGATATGGAACCATCTACAGCACATTCTTAACAACCCTTTCATGATGCAAAGAACCCTTTAGTCATGCAAAGGGGACTTTGAGTGTTAGAGTGTCAGCTAGACAGTGCATTCATAACCATTTCATGTAATAACTTTCTGTGAGGAAGCTTTTAGCAGCATTAAGACGTCTTCTGATGTCTGGTTCCCATCATTAACACTGTGAACAATTCTGACTAAGAACATAGCATTTTACATCAAACCACACTGAATGACTTCCTTTACATCTTTACGATTTGATTATACAGAAATTTTGGAAAATATGTGGAATTCCATCCATTTTAATTAACAAAATGGTCCTGTTGGCAAATGTGCTTTGTTTGAACACAGACTTGGCTGATTAGTTCAGTTATGTAGTTATCATAAATTAAACTGACTCAAACTCCACCTTGCCTTAATGCCTAGCTGCTTACCTCTCTCCTGTGTTTCTGACGCCTGGTCCGGTTGCGGTTCTGATGGATTCTCAGTCATCTTGTGTGCCAGTATGCTCTTGTCTATCTGCTTGTTGTGCTGAATAGGCACTGGCGCAGCCTCAGCTCTAGCAGACACTGTGCACTGTACTTTTAAGGGCTCTTCATTGTGGACGGGGCTGTTTTTAGATGCTGTTTCCTGAACGTGGACTAAAGATGAAACATGATTCACTTTATTCTCCATTAACCTCTCTTCTTCCTCCAGCATGGCACCAGTGTGATGCGTAGAGTCTGCTTCCATTAGCACAATGCTGTGACTCAGAGACTGCACTAACTCTTCTGCTCCTGAATTCTGAATTTGGGGTGAAGACGGAGGCTGTACAGGCCCAGGGGGTCCCACAGACATATACTGTGGAGCACAAATGGACACTTTCTGTGGAATTTCTTCATCTTCACTGTAAAACACAGAGTCGTCTCCTTCGGTCATAACCAGAGCAGCTTGACTCAATGGTTTTTCCAGGGTCTGCAGGGCCTCCACAGTTACTCCTTTGCTAATGTCCACCGCTGGTGCCAGCGCTGTGCCGCTTTCAGTCTCAAGTGCTGTTGGAAATTCTTCCATCTTGGCTTAGCTTAGATATTCCTTTGTGGTCAGTTCGGTTCTTATAATTAACCTTCGAATCTGTTGTTATTGCTCAGGACATCTGCAGATTAGTTAAACTTCTGTTTGTCATGTCCAGCCACTGTTCTGCTCCACCATTCCTCTCTTCCACACTTAGAGAAACATCCCATTTTGCATTCTAATGACTGGGCTCACTGGCTGTGGCAAGCAGGGCTTTTGTGCTGGGGTGCGATGTAATTCTATAAGCGTTCTGAGCCAGGAGAGAACAGAGGATTTGTACTGCCCCAAATGAATAGCCTTTTGTCCAAGGCTCCACTACAAACAAACCATTTGTCCTTGTGTTTTAATCCTCGTCGAGTGACCGCCATCACCAAGAGGTATTAAGATTAACATTCTCATTCATGTTTCCATGTCAGTTTGTACCCTGGGTTTGACTGCAGGAAACTACCTCTACTTTGGCCATTTATTCTGTTGCATGTAATTGTAGGTAGAACGTTACAAAGTTATAAGATACATAGGTAAAACATGCTCCTATATACGTAAGTCTGTGAGTTTAAGTGATTATAATATATATACATATGTGACAAATTCATATCACTCTTGTTTTGAAAAAAAAAAACTGCACTGGTCACCTATATCTTCAAGGATAGATATGAAGTTATTATTATTGTTATTATTATTAATTAAAGGAAAAACTAGTATAGTATACTGGTAAGTTGTTGGGCCACCACAAGCCGTCAAAGCCGAGAGAACACCTTCAGTGCGTTACTAGAGAGATGAAACCCAATCTAAAAAAAAAAAATCCTCAATTGGTGTAATGATGGTGGTGGAAAGCGCTGTCTAAAATGTTAGTAAAAAAAGTCTCATAGGTGTTTAACTGAGTTAAGATCTGATGACTACAAAGGCCATATCAAATGATTTGCCTCACCACATTTTCATTAAACCTTTTTGTGACCCCTCATACCGTGTGGACTGTGGCATTGTCACCACTTCCAACATGACAGATGGATGTGATCAGTCAGAATAACTTTGTATTGGTTTTTAGTGACCCTTCCCTCTAAAGGGTCAAGTGCTTCCAAACCATGCCAGCAAATCGCATAACAGATACATTGGACCCCTTACTGTAGGGATCAAGCATTCAGGCCTGTACATCGCTCATGCACTCTCCCTCTTGTGGAGAATATAGTAATGGATGTCTCATCTGTCCTAATCACTTTTTTCCACTCTGCACCACTGAATGAATATACATTCAGCTTTGTAACGAGAAGTTTACGCACCGCAGCCCTGCTGTTGTAATATCTCTTCTTGTAGTTGTGGTCAGACTGATGTCTTTCCCATAGATCTAAATGCAGTCACTTTAGTCAGTGTGCCTATTGAATCACTAGCCACTTGAGGGGTCTTGAAAATTCTGCCATGTGTGGCCCAGTAAGGAACACTCTGTCAAAGTCACTTAGATCTTTTCCTCTTGCCATCTTGGTCCAAAATCAAAGAAATCTGAACTGTTCAGCAATTTTTATACCCACCACAGAGCATGGTAGGATGGTAATTGCTTAACTGCATTGCAAACTATTCAGAGTGACTAGGGTCATTATATATATAAACATCTATGTACAGGGAGATTCACTCTAAAGAGGCCCTGAATATTCTGTTGTAACTCCTGTTAGGATTAAGTAAAAATATTACAAGTATATTTAATAATTCTGCCTGAGGCGCCGAATGTAATTGCGACACCATTTAAGGTGGAACCACCATTTAAGAAGCGACTTCATCTTCGTAACTGTTTAGTGTGTGACAGTCTCTCGTTGCAGATTTAACGTACCAGGAAACCAACTGCGCTGCTTATAAACGCGAATAACGCATCGCTGCTAGGTGACCTGCAGTCTGCACGGCGGTTGTCAGTCGTTGCGAAACAGGGCTTTCGCGCTATGTTTCACACGACCCGAAGATATTTTACTGACACAGCGATCCCCCGCCACCGCCCCAAACAAGAGCACTGAATGAGAGCCTTCTAGTTCACTTGCCACATCATTTCCATTTGATTTATTAATAAGAGATATTGGAAGTAAATTCATTATGGATCATTACAAATACTTTGGTTTAAAAGTACCAAGTCACTTTGAATAACAACACTAAGTCACTGAGTCACTTTAAAATGTATATTGTCTCTATATTCTGTGTATATTTTGTGTGTATATATAATATATGTCAGTTAGTTTTTCTTGTATTTGTATTTTTACTTATTTACTTTCTGTAGAGTGATTAGCTGAGCCTCTCCACAAGCATTTCTATGCATAAATGTCCTGACACGTGCAAATCACAAATAAACGTGAAACTTGAACTTGAAACTTGAACTCACACAGTGAGAAAATAGAAATGCTGTATAGAAAAAAAAAAGATGCCTCGAGATGCATCGATAATCGTTTTATAATTGCATCACAGCCCTCTGAATCGTAATCTAATCGAATCGTGAGGTGCCTAGAGATTCCCACCCCTAATATAATATATAATTCAGTGCACATTTTCTATTGATTTCTTGTGTTTAAGATATTCAGAAAAAATAAAAACATAACATTTAAATGTAACTTTTGCACAGGCCACATCTTATTGCCCCCCACAATAAGTGTGCATAAAAATGTGCAGAAGTGTGTTCTCTGTAGAGGTTGTGTTATTAACTTATTTTAACTTAGAAAATCAGCAAAATGTAATTTGACCAGGGGTGCTGCATATGACTACCATTTTGTTTGAGGCATTAACCTGATGCATTTTGTTGCAAAATACATGAGCTTAGTTCATTATAATGTGATTCCACTACAACAGTACAAGCTGGGTGTGTAAAAAGGTGCCTGTTGTATAGCACCTGCAAAGTGAAACTGTTATCTGGTAAAGCTGTGTGGTGAGGTGAGGTGCACGCTCAGTCCTTTCACTTCACTGCTTCATTTCCAAAACTATCTCTTCAAAAATTCTACTACAACTACAGACTAAGATTTGTTATATATTCACCCAGGGCAACTCCTGGAATCCCTGTGCGATGCACATTGTTGTATTTGCTAGGCTAACAGACCTAATTGAAGTCATTAGGCAAATATGAGGTTAAAGTGAAGAAACCACAAAAACGTGCACCTGGTGCTTAGCAACAGGTGAGCGAAATGTAACTGCAAGTGAGTTCATGGTTACCGATGCACAGGTTACAGCCTTTGTGGCTTGTGATATGTGATCTGAAGATGGCTAGACATTGTCTGCAGTACAGCTTTTTCTCCAAAACTCTTCGCTCTTTTATGCTTTTTCTCATTTTACTGTGGTTACTCAGACAGAAGCAGCAGGCTTCATCGAAGAAAGCCACAACAATCGTGCTATTGATGCAAATGAGCGAGTGGGGACTGTGAACTTTGCTAAGTGTGATGATGGGTCCAGCCCCTTTACTGTGTGAAGAGGAGTTAGATCTACAAACTGCTGGTTTTGCATTGATTGCATGTGCTGAGTGACTTGAAATCAGTGCAGTTAGGTAAAAACAGTGTTGCACAACTGGAAAAAACAGTATGTGCAAGAAGTGAAAAAATATGTGGTTTCTAATGGATGCTTTGCTGCAAAACTACTTCATTGTTTAGAATAAAAACCCTCAGCCAAGATCATGAACATTTAATAAACCTCAAATATGGTTTTCCTTTCAATGAGTACCAACACACTGATGATCAGATCATCATTAAACTGCTGTGTTGTGCTTACAAACAGAGTATGATATTGCCCTCTGGTGTCCACTGTGGTGACTAAAACAATTTTTTTAATTAGCATCTCTTAATACAAGCAGGATATCTTAAACTATGTGAAAAAAGGTTTTCAGAGGTCAATAAGGATGATTTTGCATGTATCTTATTTATTTACATGCTCATCTGGGTGCAGGTAACTTCCTTATGTAAGGCAGAAGCAGCAAAAAAAATCACTGTAGACATATTTGAATAAACCACTTTTCCATTACACTCTTATAAAAGCGTGCGTCAGAGTTCTTTTAATGTATCTTGTGCTCATTGTTTTTGTGCATATCATACATCAATAGCAAACGAGACACTATGTCAGTCTGTTAAAAGACGTTACCTACAGCAAAAATAGTCAGTAGGGTAGCACCTTCATCAAGACCGCATCCTGTTTTGAACACTTCTCAGATATATCTGTGGTTTGGGGCTGTGGTACTTGTTAACTCATGTAGCCCAGCACGGTTCCACCTTACAGGAGCACTTTGAGAAAACTGGCCTTATTTCCAGAATAGTCTCCTTAAAAATGACCTTTATTCACACCATCTCTCAATATTACTAGTTAACCCAAAATACTCCAGTGCTGCAAAAGCACAGCTGAAGAGTGATTCCTCATATTTTACCAAACCTTGCTTTATTTGCTGCTACATGTAATGACATGCACATCTAGGTCACCTGGAGAACTGCACCCTCATCTCATTCTCACGCAATCTCTTTTATGAGTAGCAGATCACATACCAAGATCCTATAGAAACTGGCCATTTGCACTGGGATTTTAATGCAGTTTTCTGGTAGAGCTACCAAATCAGTGAAAATCAGGGTAGGATAATGCTACTTGCACTTCAGAAATATACAAATGACACATTCACTCATATACATTGTTCTGCACCCTGTGCTCCCTGCTTATGTACATGTCCATTGACAGTTCTTTGAGTGTATCTGCATGAAGAAGTTCATAATGCTCTTGTGTGGCTTGTGTCCATCAAACTCAAGCCTCAGAGGGGTCACTTCTAGAGCTCCATGAGTTTCAAAATGCTGAACGTACTTTGAAACATCAAATGTCCACTTTACAAAATGTTGAAAGAACACATGTCACATTTATCCTCTGCTCCTCACACGCCTAAAAAGTTTTTCATTTATTTCAAAGGATTTCACATTTTTACAGTCTGTGGGCCCAGTGATGACTCAAGTGGTCTCCTCCTCCTCTACTGAGTGGTTCAGTCCAGGTATAAACTTCAGAATGTGTTTGCGCATGCTTGCCCTCCTCCCTCTGCGGGGCAAGGTGGCAAACACAGAGTTGGGGACGGAGAGGGGCCGGTTGTTGTCATACGTAGGGGATTGGCAGCTGCTGCCACTGCTGATGCTGTGGGTTCGGGTCAGAGCCGACCGGGACGGCGCTACGTCTGGCTGTAATTCCCTGAAGAAGCCGTAGCTTGGCTCAGTGGGGCTGAATGGGCTGAGGTCGTC